TATAGTTTTCTATTTTGGTGGTGTCTTTTCCTGGCTTTGGTATCGAAGATATGTTTGCTTCATAGAATGAATCTGGAAGGGTTCCATCTTCTATTTTCTGAAATAATTTATGTAGAATTGGTAACAGTTCTTCTCTAAATGTTTTATAAAATTCACTTGTAAAACCATCTGGTCCAGGGCTGTTTTTGTTATGTGTTATCAAATTGGGATTGACTCATAGTTGACTTTCAAGTGGGTTTTCAGAGGCTATAGACTGCACAAGAGGAGACCATTCATTAGAGTAGCTGGTGCATTCAAACTAGGTGCCTTTTAATTGGCAGCACAATTCTTTACCACTAGGCCACCAGAGCTAATGAAAAACCTACCATTCACTTTGGGTATTATGTGATAGAAGCTCTAAAAATTCTTCTTCAGGGGTTATGAGACAAGAAATGATTATTTTTTAAAAAAGTAAACATAAGTGACACTGCAACTTTGTATTTTAAACTGGCAGCCTCAGTATGATGTAATAGTTGTAGGAACATTAAACTACTTACTCATATAAAGTTGAACATCTTTGCTTTGGATTTCTGTCACTCATCTTACTCTGGGAAGCATGGTCTTGGTTTTGCTGCTCTTGCTTTTTTTGATAGTAAACTTCAAACTCCACATCTTTCTGAAGATGTTCAGTTACCGTAAATGGGTGGGAGGAACCTGAACTGCCTCTGTGAATGAAAAATGCCACTTTGTGAATAATCAGTTTTGGAGTAAGCCAAAGAATATTTAAATTAGGGGAGAAAAAGGCACAAAAAGTATAACTAATATTCAGAATTATGAAGCAAAACCAAAAAAGACAAAAAACTTACCATTAAACAATTATCCTTCTAGCCAACAGAAATGACACCTAACATTTTTAGTAAAAACTTTTCATTAACCAGTTATCCTTCTTACCAAGAACACATTTTTTAAAGATACTCTTGATTTTAAAAGTAACGTGTTACAATAATTAGAACTTACTGTAGATAGAAAAATGCAAGATTTCATTACATTTGTCACTAAGTTAAAGTAAGATTGTAACTGGTAAAAGATATTTAATAATGAAATCTAAGAAAGAAGAAAAAGATTCTATCCCTTCAAAAATATGCAATAAATTAAGTGTGGGCTTTAAAACTACACTGCCTAGTCTGAATTTTGACTCTGTTAGTTTAGGGGCTTTCTGTGTTTAGGCAAGTTACTCAACTATTCTGTGCCTCAGTTTCCTTGTCTGTAAAATGGACATAACTACAGTACTACTCTCTGAGTTTTAATAAATATGTGGATTTAATGAGCTCATAAATGTAAAGCCCTTAAAATAACTCCTGTTATGTAAGCATTATCTAAATATAAACTACTATTATTTTAATGCTATACAACTCCTAGCTTCAGAGAAGTCATGAAAAGAACTTCAAAGCGTAGTTAAATCAGCTTAAATGAGTTGTGATTCATTTAACACACTTAAGAAAAAACATCTTTTTGTGAATTGTTGGTCCATAAAAGGAAATTATATATAAAGATAACTTCTACTCATAATTTTGTTTTGTTTTGGTTTTTGCAAATGTACTCCCTCATTTAATCTGGACTGTCACAAAGACAGACAGAAAGGGTAGGAAATTTTTCTTTTCTATTCTAGTGCTACTCATAATTTTTATTTTTTTTCTATCTAGAAACCTCAATTTCAACAACCAGCTGCCACTGAAAATCACCAACGTCTAAGGTTGAACTGTAACATCACGTACATCCTCCATGACACCTTCCTCTTTCTTACTGTAGCAAATATGTTAGTGTTTACCAACACAGCAGTCTCTTAATTTAAGTAATATATTCTAGACATTTTCTAGGATTTCCCCACAATGCTTTGCAAACAATAGGTTCTCAATCAAAACTTACTGAAGGACTATCTATCATCAGCCTTGTGACTTCAAAGCAGAATTGTGATTTCACTGTGTGATTTCTTCACACATATGAGCCATATTACATACACATCAGAGTGAGATCAAGTCATCATAAAAGATGCACATATTTAGATATAAGAGTAAGAGAAATAAAACTCAAGCCGAAAATACATTCCATTAACGCCACTTGAAATATTAAAACTCTTGTGTTAAATGACACAAAAATGTAAAGATTGTACTTACTTATTGTTACCACCTTTAGTGACAGTCTCACTTTTAAGACTTTTTATTATTGAAGTTGTTCCAGACCCAACTAACATAGGCTGGTTTAAAAGATAGAAAAATGACAATGATTTTCTACCTTAATATTCCATGGGGGGAAAAAAATCACCATTAAAACTGATGAATGTTTATATAAATATGCACATATATTTCCAATATGTAAGACCTCCATAAATTTTTACATGAACAGGAACAAACAGTTAACACATGTTTCAGCGATCAATTGATGTTGTTGGGGGCCATTGTCAGCAACTATTAACAGACCTAAATTAATATTTAGGGCAGTTTCCAATGAACCAAGAATAATGCAAATGTCACTAAGGTACTATTTTAGCTAAACAAAGTCAACAATAAAATAGAACTTTTATTGGCATTTCTATACTGGTCATAGTCTTCTTGAATACTCGCTGTCACTTGCTCTCTTTCTCCTACTAAGGAGTCCCCTCCTCCCACCATGCCTCATACCAAAGAGGCATGACAACCTCACAAGGACCTCATTGTCTCTGGGCAAGAAGTAGGACGAAGGGAAGGGATCCCATCAATGTTAGGATTCTGAGACAGTAATTAGAATCCATATTTCCTTTTAAGTTTAGATAATAAACATCTGAATACTAGAATTTTTATTCTACTTTAATACCTCCCTCTGAATGTAATACTCACTGACTTAGGCTCAATTTCAACTCACACGAACTCCCTACTGGATTCCCACGACTATAAATCTTTACAGAAAGAAACTACCATCTTTCTTTCTCAAAAGGGCTGGTGATTTGAACTGCTGACCTTCTGGTTAGCAGTCCAACAGTTAATGCACTTTGCCACCAGGGCCTCCTCCGTTTAATAACAGTGTGCTGCAATCCCGAAGGTACATGGTTCAAATCCACTAGCGGCTCTATGAGGGAAGGATGAGTTATCTCTAGTATGATTTACTGCTTCTAAAAACTTGCTGGAGGGTCAGTGAAGAGTCGGTTCTGATTTGATGGCGAACAATAATAAGAAACAAGCTAGCTGTCATCCCAGGGAGTTCTGGTGGTGCAGTCCGTAGGGAACTGCAGTGATAACCCAAATGCAGGATCTTGAAAATCCACCAGCTGCCCTTCAGCATAAAGAAGGGCAGACTCCTCTCATATGATTTATAACCTCAGAAGTCCAAATGGAGGGAGAGCTAGGAGCTGGTTCTGACTTGATGGCAATGAATGAACTTTAACTGCCATCTAGTCATTTTTAACTCATGCTTCAGAGATGATAAGCACAATAACTTTGCTGGCTATTATTAACAGGAATTAATATCACTCCTGTTATACAAATGAAAGAACAGCATGGCATAGCAAAGCAAAGTCAAATCACATGCTCAGTTAGTAACAAGTAAAAACAAAACGTATGAGTCCAGGTCTGCCTGACACCAAAGCCTTCTTTGTCAATATATCCTGTGACCACTCACACAGAAATCTGCATTATGTGAATGTTTTCATGGGAACTGTCTAAAAAAGTAAAAAGCTGATAAAAAGGAAGTTTATTTCAAGAGTTACTTATTTATTATAGGAACTTAAATTCTCTTAGGGAGCTCTGGTGGCCTAGTGGTAAGAAGCCGAGCTGCAACTACTTGCTCTGTGGGAGAAAGACAGGTAATTTTCTCCCATGCAATTTACTGCCTCTGAATATTCACAGGAGGGTCAGCTATGGGCAGGTTCTGTACATAACAAGAACAACAATAATAACAAATTATCTTAAAATGTGGAAGTCTGACAAAACAGCTTTAGATAAAACCTACAAATTCTTTCTCTAGAAATGCTTAAAAATATCCCAAGATTGGCTGATTCTCATTTACATAGCCAATTAAATTTTTGTAAGTTTAGATAAGAATTAGTGTAGAAAATATTACATACCTTTAGATCTTTTGGTTTCTTCTTCTTTCCTTTGTTTTTCACTTTTGCAGATACAAACTAAAGATGGGGGAAAAAACAGTGAAAATTTAAACATTTTGGATAAAGTATACTGATTTGCATAGAAGAAGCATGAGGCATAAATTACATGCTAGAACAGTGTAATGACAGAGAACTGCCAGAAATTCAAGCTGGATTTAGAAGAGGCTATGGTACCAAAAAGGGTATCACTGCTGATGTCAGATGAATCTTAACTGAAAGCAGAGAATTCCAGAATGATGGCTATCTGTATTTTATTGGTTATATAAAGGTGTTTGACTGTGTAGAGCACAACAACTTATGGCTACAATTGAGAGGAATTGTAATCCCAGAACATTTAATTATGCTCATGTGTAACCAAGACCTAAAACAAGAAGTTGTTTGGATAGAGCAAGGGAACAATGTATGGTTTAAAATAAAAAAGATATGTGTTGGGCTGCATCCTTTCTCCAAACTTATTCAATCTGCATGCTGAACAAATCATTAGAGAAGCAGGACTTTGGGAAGAAGAACATGGCATCAGCTTTATCACCATCTGCATTATGTAGATGATACAACCTTACTTCTGAGTGTGAAAAGAATTTGAGACACTTGCTGCAGAAGAGGAAAGACCACAATCTTCAATATGCCTTACATCTCTACATCGAGAAAACAGAAATCCTCATCACCAGACCAACAGGAAACCAACAGGTGAAGAAACTCAACAATTTCATCTTACTTGAATCAATAGTCAACAACCTTGATAACAGCAGTGAAAAAAAAAAAACAACCCCAAACAAACAGACAAAATGTGACACTGGGAAAATGTGGCATCAAGCACTTCTCCAAAGTGCTGAAGAGCAATGTTGTCACTTTAAAGACTGAGGTGTCATCATGGGTTTTAAAAGTTCCTGCATCACTTCAGTTTTCTTTCAGGTACTGAGCTGTCCAAATGCATGGAGACCTCTGCACTTTAGTCCTAACTTGGTGTGCAGAGGGCTGCTCGTAACTCTGCTCATAAGGGCTGTGCCTGCTCAGAGCCCTGGACTGTTCAACCCACACAAATGCTAAATAAATATATTTTGGGGTTTGTTTTAAAAAAAAAAAGACTGAGGTGTGCTGGATTCACGTCATGGTCTTCTCAATTATTTGCTGTGCCTCTGAAAGTTAGGAAATATCTAAGAATGACTAAAGAACCAATGCCTTTGAGTTGTGGTGTTGGAGAATATCCTATGAAGAGTAAAAAGAACAGATCTGTCTTGAAGAAAGTGCAACCAGCGTGCTCCTTGAAGGCAAGGATAGTGACGTTTCACCTCACATACTTTGGGCATGTTGTTAAGAGGGGTCAATGTCTTTGGAAAGATGGAGAGTCAGCAAAAGAGAGGAAGACTCTTAACAAGATAGGTTGGCACAGTGACTTAACAATAGGCTCAAGTATATCAGAGATGCTGAGGATGGTACAGGATAGGACAGGGTTCAGACCCATTGTTTACAGGGTCACTACGAGTCATACTTGACTTGGCAGCACATGACAACAGGCATAAATTAAATGTGTATTAAATTGTTTAACAAAGATAATATTTTAATGTTTCAGCCCAAGTGTTAAAATTTATAATAGAAAGTAAAAAAAAGTCTAATGATGATAACTAAAATTTAGCACTAACATTTTAAATAAATTTTCAACAGGATTTACATCATTTGAAATAATTAATCAGACTTTTAAAGCCCTTTAAACTATAGCACTTTCACGGCATCCCCTTTCCCAGGCATTCAGGATCTGGCCAGACACTGGGGCAGAAATTGTAAATGAGAAGACCCATCTTCGTTTACATACTTACCTGTGCCCCCAATACTCACTGAAGCTGTTTTTAGCAAAACAGATTAAGACAAAATTTCAGCAAAGGACACAATTGTCTTTCTCTTTGACAACTGTCATAATCCCTTTCTCTTCTTGACTTAAAAATAATTTCTCTAACGTAAAGAATTCCTCAACTGACAGAAAAGAAAACAGCATCCATAACCTGTAAAGAAAGACATTTCTGGGGCTGTTTTCACTTTTCCTCAACTGGAGCCACTAAATGGAAAAGTCCCTTTGCTTTCCTGTAGAGCAGAATGAGAACATTTTAATCACTAAAGATGACTTTTCATTTGGATGCCAGGAAGTGCCTCAATAACTCTTCCTTTCCTATTTCTAATATTAACATTTATTAGTATGGGTACTGTTCTAATGTAAGCCTCAGAAGTGGTTGCTTATTATGCCACATCCACAAAAAAGCAAAGAAGACTGGGATTAAGCTTTCTCATTATATACATGGGAGTGAGGGGGTACAATACGTGTGGCAGAAAGTGTCTCAGCAGACCCCATACCACACAGTGACTTAGTCACTGCAAAAACATTTTATAAGAAACATAAACGCAAGCCTATAGACATGGATTTCACCTGATGGTGTGTATAGGAATCAGATAGATTACATCTGTGGAAAGAATCACTAGAGAAGCTCAGTATCAGTTGTGAAAACAAGACCAGGTGCTGATTGTGGAACAGACCACCAACAACTCCGATGCAAGTTCAAGCGAAAGCTGAGGAAAATTAAATCAAGTCCACAAGAACCAAAATTTGACCTTCAGTCTATCCCACCTGAATTTCAAAACCATCTCAGGTAGAGAGCTCTGGTGGCCTAGTGGCAAGACGCTGCACTGCAATCCCAGAGGTACACAGTTCAAATCCACCAGATGCTCTGCTGGAGAAGGAGGGGGCAATCTTCTCCTGTACCTGTCAGATCTGATTTGATGGTACACGTAAAAATAACACAAAAATAAAAACAAAAACCAACCCATCTCAGGAATAAGTTTGAGGCCTTGGACATTAATGAGAGAACACTAAATGAGCTGTGGGAGGATATCCAGAATATCATCCAAGAAGAATACAAAAGGTCATTAAAAAGACAGAGGAGGAAGAAAGACCAAGATGGATGTCAGAAGAAACTTTAAATATGGCACTGGAGTGCCGAGAAGTCAAAGCAAAGGGAAGAAATCAAGATATTAAGGAGTTGAACAGAAGATTCCAGAGGACAGTGCGGGAAGACAAAGAATTACAATGAAATGTGCAAGGAGCTGGAGTTAGAAAATCAAAAGGGCCAGCCTTGCTTAGCATTTCTTAAGCTCAAGGAACTAAAGAACAAATTCAAACCTTGAGTTGCAATACTTAAGGATGCTTTGGGCAGAATACGAAATGATCCAGGAAGCATTAAAAGAAGAAGGAAAGAGTATACAGAGTCATTGTACCAAAAGGAGTTGGTGGACACAGAAGAATTTAATGAAACAACATATGAGCAAGAGCCTGTGGTGATGAAGGAGGAAGTTCAAGCTGCTCTGAAAGATTTGGCAAAAACAAGGCCCCAGGAATTGATGGCATACCAATTGACATATTTCAACAAACAGATGCTGCCCTGGATGTGTTCACCAAGTTGTGTCAAGAAATCTGGAGGATAACCACCAGGCCTACTGACTGGAAGAGATCTATATTTGCTCCCATTCCAAAGAAAGGTGACCCAACAGAGTGTGGAAATTATCAAACAGCATCATTGACATCACATGCAAGAAAGATTCTGCTAAAAATTATTCAAAAATAACTGGAACAGCATATGAACAGATTAGTGCCTTAAGTGAAGGCTGGATTTAGAAGAGGCCATGGCACTAGGGATGTTATAGCTAATGTCAGATGGATCTTGGCTGAAAGAGAGTACCAGAGGAATGTATATGTGTGTTTCATTGACTATACAAAGGCATTAGACTATGTGGATCACAAAAAACTGTGGCTGACTCTTAGAAAAATGGGAATCCCAGAACACTTGATCATGCTTATGTGAAACCTTATTTGGACCAGGAGGCAGCTGTAAGAAAAAAGCAAGGAAATACTACATGGTTCAAAATTGGAAAGGGTGTATGTCAAGGATGTGTCCTATCTCCGTATCTTTTCAATCTATATGCAGAACAGATTATCTGGGAGGCTGGGCTCTATGAGGAGAAGTTTGGCATTAGGATTAGAGGTAGACTCATCAACAATCTACGTTACTCAGATGACACAACCCTGCTTGCTGAAACTGAGGACCTGAAGCGCTTGCTGCAGAAGGTCAAGGACTGCAGCCTTTGATATGGATTGAAGCTCAACATCAAGAAAACAAAGATTCTCACCACTGGGCCAAATGGCATCATTATCATCATCAATTCATCATCATCTATCATGATGATGAAGAGACTGAGATTGTTGATGGCTTCAGTTTGCTTGGCTCCACAGTCAACACTCTTGGTACCAGCAGCCAGGAAATTAAAATACAAATTGCATTGGGAAAGTCTGCTGTCAGAGACCTCTCCAAAGTACTGAAGGGCAATTTTGTCAGTCTAGAGATTAAGGTACACCTAATACAGGCCATGGTCTTTGCAATTACTTGCTATACATCAGAGAGCTAGACAATGACTAGGGATGATAGAAGGAGAATTAACGCCTTTGAACTGTGGTGCTGGAGAAGATTAGGACAACAAACAAGTTTGTCCTGGAGAGGGTGAATCCAGGCTGGTCCTTGGAGGCAAGGATTCTGAAGCTTCATCTGACATACTTTGGACATGTTGCAAGAAGGGTCCAGTCCTTAGAGAGGGACATAATGCATGGGAAGGTGGAGGGAGAGTGTAGTAGAGGAAGACCCTCGATGAGATGGATTGATTCAGTCACTGCAGTAATGGGGATAGGTGTGTCAGAGACAATGATACTGGCGAGGGATAGAGCAGGGTTTAGGGCTGTTGTACATAGGGTCACTATGAGTTGCAGGCAACGAGATGGCACATAACAACAGCAACAATTAAATACACATTATCCAGAACCCTCTAAATTTGGCTCTAGAATGCATAATAAACACATATTGGTGCTTATTTATTTCTCTTCCCTTAGCATTTACACTGCACAGCCCTGGAATCAATGAGGGGGCTCTGGTGGCCTAGTGCATAAGGAGTTGTGCTGCTGACCCAAAGGCACGTAGTTTGAACCCTCCAGTTAGCCAGTAGGAGAAAGACAGGCATTTCCCTCTTGTGTAATTTACAGCCTTTAAAAACCCTCTGGAAAGTCAGCTATGGGTTGGTTTCTACTTGACGGCAATGAGTTTAATATTTCCGAGATTTTTTGGAATGACTGGATCACTTACCTTCATGTCATCATGTTCCTGTTTCCTTAGCACAGTACAGCTGCTGTCTGTAGGATGACATCAAGGATTTTATGAGGCAACTAAATAGTCACATGTCCACACAATACACCAAAGCCTTATAAACTGCCCGAGATACTACTAACACAAGATATGTTCTACTCAATTTAACTGTGATACAAGCTTTAGAAATCATGGAGAAAAGGGAAATGGGAAATTAACCACAGAGAACCACAAAATTTTGACCCAGTTTAGCATAATTTGAGCACCATTTATATGTCAAACTTTTTATGCTAAAGTGCTAGAAATATAGAGATGCATAAAACAGTCTACGAACAAACAAACAAAACAATTAGAACCCTGTGAGCTATGTGCCAAAAAATTTAAAACATCACAGAAAGGGAAGAAGGTCTCCAAAGGGAAGAGGCCCAAGGAAGGGTGAGGTAGGATACCAGTGATGGAAGGGGAGGATGCCTGAGTTCAACTTAAAAGGAGCAAGAAAAGGAGTGGGCTGAGTCTGAGGAACTGTGTCAGAGAGCACCAAACACAGGCAGGTGTGGGCGCAGGATAAAGCAGAACATATACCTAGAGGGCAGATGTGAGAGAGTGACAATGAACCTGGAGAGATGATGCAAATTATCATGTAGACAAAACTGAGCAAACATTTCCCCAACAGAGTAGTTAGAGATCAGATAGATGTTCTAGAAGAACAACTTGTGGCAGCAGTACGGGAGGATGTTTGGTGTGGGAGTGTCTACAGGCATGGAGACCAGTTTGGAGGCTACTGAAGTAGTCTAACCATGGAAAGTAAATAGGGTTCCAGCCTAGAGCAGTGGGCATGGGCAGGAAGAGACAGATTAAAGACAAAGATTAACTTGAGTTGGTAACAAACTAGATAGATGGAGATTGGTATATCAGGGAAATGGAGACATCAAGACTAATCCTAGGATTTCCTACTAAAAACTAAATTTACAAAGATAATAGCAATTAAGTGAGATGAATTTATGGGAAACAGATCTCTGGTAAGTGCATTTAGCCATACTTGTGTTCACTAGCATAGTAATGACAACAGGGAAAAAGTTTTCTAGTGTTCAGAAGGGAGGTATTAAACATTTCTATTGATAACATCAGTGCATTCTGAGAGGTGTTAATGAACATAATCCATCCTTTCAATGGAAATATAAAAGTGGGCAGGAGTCAGTACTTGGAGGCACGCTCCTCGACTTATAACCTGCAGGGCTGGCCATTTGTTGGTTAGTGGCTTCCAACTCTACAACTAACAGCAGACGGTCTAGCTGATGGACTGTGTGTTTTAAGCAGAAAGCACAAATATCAGGCAGAATGCACACTCAGAGCTTTCAAGGTCTCCCACCATGTGATTCAAGCATGCAGTGGGGTTTTTTTTTTTTGCAGTGGGTTTTTTAAGCTCAGTCTCAGAACATTTTATTACCAGCAGCTGCAAACTGATGGCAATAAAGTCAGGCTATCAGGTAATGTGTCACCTTCCAGTCATGGAGCAGAATCCTGGGAAAATAAAGCTATCTAGAGTTGAGTGTGCTTGTTCCTCATGACCACAACATTATGAAGTTTGTTACTGTCAGTCCTTTATATCTACTGCACTTATGTGGACCCATTTTGAGACCACCCTTAATGTACTCTTTAAAACAAGGATCATAAGCTTTAAAGGTCTAACTCCTGAAAATAATGTAAAACTGATTTGTGATGCTGAAGAAAAGGGACAGGACGAAGGACTATGCAAACATAAGAAACTAAAATGAATATGGAATCTAAGAGTATCAGAATTTTGAGAGCAAAAGATCATTTGGTCAAAATCCTCTCATTTTAATGAGGAAACTAAGGTCAAAACACACTAAGCAATTACCTGGTAGATGTCCAAGAAAACTCAATGGAACTGTTCTACTCTGTAAACACACAGGGCTATCAGGAGTTAGAACTATTCTCTGCCACACTGGACTCCATGCCACTACTCAAAGATGGCCCACAACCCCCTCCATCTGCCCTCTCTACTCCCTAACATCCACCCATCACCATCCATTCCAACCCCTATCCCCAAAGCAACCTCTCCTCTTCCCAGACTCCATCCCTCCACAGAACCCTTTAGCACTTTCTCTGATCCTTTCTTGTTGAGGTTACTATCTTCTTATAATTATTTATATACTCATCTCATTCTCTTTTCTAGAAAAATAAGCCCGTAGGGGACTACTAAGCTTTTCTGAATCCCTTATTAAATCCCAGCACAGGGCCTTGAAGCAGTAGGAGAGCACACAGTTTTTAATGAGCTGAATTAAAGAAAATGCTCAGCCACAATACACTCCCTGATCTTAGGTTCTAAGCTATCACAAATAAAATAGATATGGTATCTGCTCTCAATTCTGCAAATATCACCCCCTCCCCTATTTCAATGTTTTCTTAAAGGTGAAATAGAAAAATATTTCCTAATACCACCCAATTAACATGTAATCTTAGCCATGAATCTGAAAATATGTTTAAGGTGGAAACAGCATGGCGTATAGTTAAGTGTATTATAACCACCTGGATATCTTTTTGTAACATACATCATAAAATATGCCTCACACCAAAACAAACAAACAAACAACTCCCCCACTCCTCTCAACCACTAACTATCCCCATATAAAACAATTGTACAATAGCAGTATTTCACTACTTTCCTTGTTAAATATTAAAATAAGCTAGATCCTTAAAATTTTTTTTCTAAGGCTAGATGGAAATAAATCCAAGGTTGGTGCACACACCTAATATATCGAAGAACTCATCTAAAGCACTATGCAGTGCTGGAAACTTCTCTCTATGGTCTTCTAGCAGCCATATTAAGCAGCGTGCTTCCTTTGAAGCTGCTGGCTCACAGAAATAGTCAAATTTCTTTCCTGATATAGAGCTTAGTTTTTGACTGTATTTCTCATTCCAGAGAAAACTTATGGTAGTAAAATCAAGGTTCTTAAAAGATGCTTTGTGACGAGTAAGAAAAGGTACGGCAGCAGTCAAGCCTGCAATAAAAAGAAAGTTCCAATCAGAAGAAAAATGAAATTATTTATGATAAAATTACATAAAGTTTCACTTTTAAAAGTAGTTTCAAACACCCCCCCCAAAAAAAGTAGTTTCATTACATATTATATTTTCATAAAGAATATTTAAATACTCAGAACAATTCAAGTTAGCATGCATTTTTAAAACTCTATTTAATGTGTATTTAAAAGTTGGTTTGGCCCAAGGGCCTGCTGTCAATTGTGTTTGAAATGAACATTCTTCTAAGTGGTACAGCACTGGTACATCAATTCTCTGTATTGAGGTAACATGGGGTTGCTGTGATGCTTAACACGGTGCCATTTGTGTGTCAAATTCCATAACGGTTACCCATGGTGGACAGTGTTTGGGGGAGATTCCAGATTAGACAGGTTTGGAAGCAGGAGTGGAATCCACTTCCTAAACAACATGCCTCTGGAAACTCTATGAACTTAGAAAAATGACAATACTTATACAACACGGTTCAGGTCTTTTGTTCATAGGTTCGCTAAAAGTCATGCTCGACTTGACAGCACTTAACAACAACAACAACAACAACATTTAATAATGACATGTTGATTATAGGGGGCTTCAGTGGTCTAGTGGATAAGGAGTTGCATTGACAACCCAAAGGCATGTAGTTCAAATCCACCAGCTGCTCTGCAGGTGAAAGATGTTCAATCTCATTTCGTACAATTTAGAGCCTTGAAAACCTGCTGGTGGATGAGCTATGAATCCATTCTGATTTGAAGGTATATAACAACAACATGCTAATTATAATGAAGTTTATCTATTAGTTGAAGAAAACTATCATGATAGCTATCTTTGTTAGGCTTAGATGATAGCAATACCACTGAGTCAATTATAGCTCACGGTACCCTCACGTGTGCAGAGCAGAACTGTGCCACACAAGTTGCTAAAGGCTGATTTCAGGGAAGAAGGCCAAGCCTTTCTTCTGAGGCTCCTCTGGGTGGATTCTTGAACCTCCAGCCTTTTTGTTAGCAGTCAGGAGTGTTAGCCATTCATGTCATCTAGGGACTCCAGACAATGGAAAATGTGAAAGGATCCAGAGGCTGATAATCACTATTCCTACTGACAACACTTCTTCAGCACGGAGAGACCTACCAAAGCCATTGAGTTTCCCAACCCAGGTGGCCATATCTGGATCCATCTCTTTAAGCTCACTCAAAACATGAAGAAATATTCTTGTTTTCACTTTGTTATTTTCATTAATCAAGTGCTGAATGACAAAATCCACTGCTTCACTGAGAAAATTTCTGCTGGAAAAGCATGTTGTGTAGTCATCCATACTTAAAACTTTCCAAGAAAGTAATTCCTTCATCAACAGGGAAGTATTGAATATTCCAGATTTGATCTTCTCAGAGTGCTGCTTTATGCACTCCAGAAGTCTGTCACCAAAGCTCTGACAAACAGATTCAGGAGCTGTTAAGGATAAACAACAATGGTCAGCGAAAGGGAGAAAGAAAAACCAATGTACAAAAAATAAACTTGAAATAATACACAGACATACATTAGTCTTAATAATATATGATGTATTTATACTGTCCTTTTTATTGTTTTGCAGGAATTTTAAATCAGGGATTTAAATACTTAGGAATGCTCACATTAAGCTAAACCATTAAAAAAAAGTATCTTCTATGCTTGACTCTGCACTAATCATGTAACATGTATAAACTTAGCTCTTCTAAAATAAACTTACCATAAGATCTTCCCTCAGCACTCTAAACCCAGATTCATCCAGTACCTAACATTTACATCTAAAAAAATGACAGTCATCAGGCATGTAAAGTAATGACACAAACATTCACTAAAATATTATTCAATTGGAAAGATAATTTTGATTGTTTTGTGAAAATTAATGAAAAACTGAATGAAAGCTAAATACAGTGATAACATATTTCATTCTGGAAAAATAAACAGCTGAAAATGAGAACAAAAGCTGAAAACTGAAAACAGTATAAACATGCCAACTGCTACATATAAGGGAATAAATAAAACTACAGATTAAGACATTCCTGTGTTAGTCAGGGAAGAAGGACAAGATAAATTCAAAATAGGGTTGGACTGGGCAATTCCTAGAATACTTTTTTTATTTTATTAATTTTAATAAACATTTACAGAGATTTTGGATTTCCATTCATTCATTGCCGCACTTTTCTCCCTGCCCAC